AGGTATGGGGAGGATGAAAGAAATCGAAATTAAACCCACTTTCTCCCTCCACAACTCCAGAACTCGTTGCTCGACTGATACTTGCAAGAAGTGCATCCGTATTGGTGTTACCAGTAGATAATGAGTCATCGAGAGGCCTCTTTCGTGAACCACTTCCGCTACCACTATTTACAGGCACTTCGACGGGAGACGTATGAGCCCGTTCAAGCGATGGCAACTTCTGGAAAACAATTAACACTTATGGCACAAACTCTGAGCAGAAAAAGTGTAAGCACAAAAAGAGAATATCTTCGGGAATTTTGGCTACTTGATGTTCAACCACTACGTTCTTCTCTTTGATCGGAATTCCGGAACAAATCTTCACATTATCTCAACAAATCCATAAAAAACCGATTTCTGTATGGGAGATTGGGTTCGCTGGAATCCCCTTAAACATTATCTGAAAATGTCCACCAAGAGCTAGCTCATATAGTGAAACCCATTGCCTACTGTGCTGTAGTAGTGACTTTGATACATCGTGTTTCATCGACTCCTATCTCTAATAAATAACCTTCCAGAGGTCGACGCTAATCAGAAAAATTAACTACTCAACTCCCAATTATTATTACAACACAGAAGTCGGACACAAGAGAGAAAAGATGACCAGCGTCCGCCCTGATAGAAAGGACTCAAGGAAATTTCATTATCATGAAATGGGCAGCACTAAAATACATCATGATTTTAGACCTCATATACTTACCTAACCGAGCACAGGAAATAAATAAGCGAAAGTACAACGTACCACATCATGGGCTTTGATCACAGCCGCCAAGTGATTGACGGCTGCTGCAGCTGGTGGTGATATCGTAGACGTCGACAGTCGACTGCTTCCGTGATTCACACGACGAGACATCGCATGCGATAGAGCGCGATCCATCATGATTTGCAGTGAACGCTTCGCAGTTACATTATCCACGTAGATGAACTGAAACAATGAATTTTGGGAAGAATCGGTGCCTACTTTTGAGGAAAACCACGGCAAAGAGCACGGAGATATAGTTTTAGTATAGGCTGATTGAGCTATGGGACCGTATGCAAGGCAATCACACATTAGATCATTTTGCTAGATTTGCTTGGCAATCTGTAAAATTCCTAGGAAGGTTTGTACTTAGAGGGCCCGAAACAACGTGTATACTTTAGGCCTATCGAGTTATTGGTATGCAAGGAATTGAGAATAAAAAAAAATTTAAAAAAATATACTGCGGAAGTGCCGCACGGTTGATATTTCAAACAAGTTGCGAAAAGAAAAATCTCTCCTAATTTAAGTTATCAAAAACTTCAATTTGAAGCGGATATATCAAGTGTTCATCTTGGAATTCGCTGGATGAATGCTCCTATTTGCAGACAACAGGAACTACTGGAGGTATTAGAGTCCTCCTGTACGACCTCTAACTCGACATTCGACTTTCCTTAAGGTTAGCTGAGCAGATCCAGTGGGAAGTTTGAAGAACTACCGCCAAATTTAAGTGAAAATTAGCTACTAAAAAATCAAGGT